AAATTTTGTATGACAAAGGTTCCCAGGCTCCCAACTATTTTCACTTATTGAGCTACGCTATACCAATGCACTCATAACTTGTCAGTCTGAACGTAGAATCCTCCATTAATTAACAGCAAATTTGTCTCAATGCTAACAACTCTCACTCTCAAGGCCAACTTGACAAATCCTCTGAAATTATTCTGCTAAAATCCAACTGTCATACGCTGATGACATAAAACCGTTGAAATGTCAGCACTTTGGTTTTGACCGCGTCATGGTCAAAGACAGTGACGTGCTTACTTATCCTCTTTTCCATATTTATTTACATTTTTTCGTTTCGTTTTTCGAAGTGTACACACCGGAAGTGCGTAATAAGGCCAACGCGTAGTTTCCAGCCACATCAATGCGTCAGCAGCTGCATTCAGTTTCCTGCGTCCATTTTGAATATATTCATAATATTTTAAGATCATACAGGATGGGTCCCAAATCAAATTTGAAAACACCAAAATAAGCATGAAGACAGCTATTGTATTAAGGCACAAAATTTGAGTCAAATTTACTTCGAGCACCGGGACCACAAGAGCATGCCGGGAAGCGAAATAGCCGATGATTGCGAAAAGTGCCATACGCTTGGCTGCTACTCCAGTATAGAAAATATGCAAAACGCTAAAAAAAATTACATAATACGATTTTCGAAAGAGCTGACAAACTTGTCTGTCTAACATACAGGATCGCCAAGATCAGGTACAAGAGAACGGAATGAAACCAAGCATGCTTTTACTCACACGGTCTTGAAAAGACTGCTGGACGGTTGTTGGTGTAGTCACAGCTCACAACTTACAGTCATCACATGCAATCCGCATGAGCTTTATTAATAATGACACATATAGAATGTGCAGTGAAGTAGGCATGAGAGTGACCTCGGAACACCCTCTCTACTTCTGTCCTGCCTTATGTAGGGTTCGGCTTAGATATCTAGGAGCTTCACAGGTCAAGGGACTTGTTGAAGTACAAGAATTAGATATCAAATCTATATTCAACTTCGCAAAAAGCTTTGACGGACTGTGCAACGTAAACTTTAGCTCCGGCTAAAGCTCCAGCTGCCAGTACAAATAACCTGTATAACCTAATCCCGCAGCCGATCTCTTAGAGGTAGTTCGAAAAAAGATGTCCAGCGGTGAGCAAGATTTTTCTGCTTAAAATTAATTTAATTGCTTCGGTCATTACCTGACGAAGGTGGTTGAAAATGTTAAGTAAATCGGTCCAGCCGCTTCGGAGAATTTGTGCTCACCGACTCTGAAAACAGTATTTCTCGAAAAACGCGTCTAAAGTTTTAGGAGCCGATTACACTAAGTTAGACAAATCTTGCAAATACGCTCATATCTCTAAATATATTTTTCCACAGTATAAGCAGGTCCAATCTAACCAAGTGACCCACCTTTGAAAAATTTTAAAATCGAATTTATTATGTGAGGCATTTAGCGAACTAAGTTTCTTAAATGAGATAAGGCTAATAGTGCTTTTTCGGAAAAATAATACGAATGATGAAGAGCAAGAAATAATTTATATTCTGACTGTGGCTATATACGGTCCCGATATATGTGAGCGCCTACTTTTATTGGGAGAGGACCGCGGTGTTTGAAGGAGCCGAGTGAAAGCGCCAAAGCTGAGTTCTAGGTTCGCATCCTTGCTTCGATGGAAATACAAAAATATAATTTCTTCGAAAAGTTGCTATCTGAATTAACGGAGAGTCTTAAGAGGTCTGTGAATATTATTTAACGAACAGTAACCGGGCACAAACCATGAATAAAAGCCAATTGAAACCGGAAAGTGAGAAATATATAGAGTCAGAGAGAGAGAGAACACAAGAGAGAGAGAGAGAGAGATAGAGAGAGACTTGTTATGTTAAAGTAAATGTGCCATGGCCGACGTCAGTGGTTACTAGTTACATAATGTTGCTGAACAGGGTTGCCACCTAGCAGCAAAATATTAAAAGTCGAGCTTTTTAGTAAGAATAACAGAGAGATATGCGTACTAAAGTGAGTGTAAGTGTACCAATGCCGAAGTTAATGTACTCTAATTACATAATATAGTTGCACAGGGTTGCCACCTAGCTGTAAAATAGTTAAAATGTTGAAGTCGAGCTTTTTAGTAGGAAAGTATTCTATACGATGCTCACCCTTTATAAACGAACCTAACTCTCACCATATGCTATACAATTACCACAGCAATAACAACAAAAACTATATGTTCCACACAGCTTCATATGCCGCTGCTGAGTAACTGTGTATTAGTGCGCTGCATATCCTTTTCAATGGCGATAAGAGGAAATTTAATTAAATGTTATTCAATTTTGTTTTGCTATAGTTAGTGTTGTTGTTGCTTTTTTTTTGCATACACGCTAAAGAATGCAAATGCAGATGAAAAAATGCAAATGAAAATTCACAAACAAAAGCGAAATCAGTCGATTTATAAAAATATCCGAAGTAAGAATTAAAAGTAAAATAAATACGCAAATTAATGTAAAAATACAACAAAGCGTAAAAGCATTAATAACATATTGAGCAAAAGCAACAACAACAACAACAATATTGGTAAGCCAAACAAACAATGGTAAACGGTAAGATGAGTAGCGAAAATAAAAATCCACGCAATAAACACGTTAAATGCTTGTGAAGTAAAGCTGCTATCGACGTTAAGCGGTATACGCGTTACATACACACTTACACTATAACATCAAAGTGGCGCTGGCTCGCTTACTGCTTACACATTTTCATCTCATTTTTATTGCGTTAAATTTCCGCTTTTAATTAAATTATTATTAATCTCTTTTTGGTTGATAGATGAGTGTGCGTTTGCGGCGCTGCAACAGCGGCCGCAGCAGCGATAATAAGTGCTAGGCAGCCAGCGTATGTATGTACCGTAATTGTAAGATGAGTAATTACAACTGCAATTGCAAAAACAAGATGGCAGTAGGCAACAACAACAATTACAAAAACAACAACAAAATTACAAAAAACAACAACAACAACAAATAGTACGATAAAAAATGTAAAAAACAACAACGGCAACAACAAAAACAGCAAAAGTTAATGCAACAATAACAACTGCAGCAACAGCGCATGCTGCCTCCTATTGAGTAATGTTTTTGTTGTTGTTTTTTTTTTTTTTTGTAATTTTCTACGGCAACGCTAGGCCTGAAGGCTGTTGCTTACTTGGCCGGCTGCATGCAATTGGCGGTTTGGCTGTTGGCAGTAAATAATTTTTAAATTAATACACTTGGCCACATACTCGTATACATGTATTACTTAACATAATTACAACCATACATATGCTGTTTATGTGTGAAAATGCACACTATACCTCGCAAATGCATCTATGTATGTGTGTATGTATATATATGTGTGTGTGTGTGTGCTGTGCATGCTTTCACACTTTATGCCTTTTAATGAGTATTACGCGCTTTCAACGCCAACATCTCTAAAGCTCGGTGCTACTGAAGCGCAAAACGCTTGACCTGAAAAGAAAAAACGTTTAAGAAGAAGAAATTGCAAATGCATACACACTCGTATGTGTGCAGCAACATATATGTATGTATATGTAACTGCATTCACACTTGCTCAGCTACATTGACGCAGATTTCTATACAAGTAGGATTTCTTTTTTATATACATATGTATATGTATGTATATATGTACATATGTATTTATGTAGTTGTTTGTAAAGGTGTTGCTGTAAAAGAAAATAAATTTCCTAATTGCGTAGAGGCACAAATTCAGGATATATATGTAGCTACTTAGTGGGTTTTCTCGCTTCACCAAGAAACCTTAATTAATTAATGTTTTGTACCACAAGTGATCTCACAAATTAATACCTGTGGAGCTGGCAGCCGGCCAAGTAATAACTAAGTCCAGGTGCTATCCAAAGTAAAACTCTTTCCTGAGCTCACGAGCGAATTTTGTATAATATAAAAGGGTATAAAAAGATTTCTTACTTGATTTTGATGGGTCAGTTTATATGGCAGCTAGAGGCTATAGTGGTCCGAACTGAATAAATTCTTTGGAGGCTATAGCACCGTTTTTGGCAATAATCAGAGCAAATTTTCTGACCGATATCTCAAAAACGGAGCGACTCGTTCGTGTATATACAGTCAGACAGACAGGCGAACATGGCTGATCATCGTTGGCAAGCTCCTACCGAGTCGAAATCTAAAACTTCCATTCAATTTGAAGCTATTTTAAATAAGTGATTGGCTAAACCGCAAACATTAGATGTATTTTGTGACATTCGAAAGTTTCGAAAACTAGTAGCGTTTCTAAAAAATATTGTTCAGTCCACAAAACGTTCGATTACACTTCAAAAATAGTGTTTATTCGGCCGAAAGAAAATTGGTGAGGTAATCGAAGAGATCGATCTATTTCGTGTTAATATTCGAAGAGTCAGAATATTAAGCAGCACTGAACAACTGTTGACCATGAAAGCTCTAATTAAACTCTTAAAGATAGAACGAACTTGTTAAGCTCGCACAGCAATAATTTTTGGCGAATCTTAATTCTAGCAAATAGAAAAGGGCATAGAACAACTCTGCGTAAGAGTTGACTGTCTATGGCCGGAGTAAAAACACGATACGTTCCAGTTATGCGGAAATGCGTTGTCGACTCCGGGTCATTAACTCTGGCCAATAATTTGGAGAATATTTATGCCTCTACAACAAGAACAAGCAGATTATGCAGTTTACTCTTTCATCAGAGTTCATAAATTCAAAATTTTTAGTCTAGCTTTTTAAGAGCGATTTAAGAAGCAGTCACGGAAAGCTTAATTTTTTATAACACCGACTTCAATACTTGCCTACAAGTGGCTAAGAAAACCTATCTCCAAATGCATTGGCTTTTAACATTTAAAAGCAAACGCCAGAAACTACGTATACAGGATTGAATGGACCAGGCTTCGTGACCCAGCACTGGAGATTTCGTTGCACATATCCTTATGATAAATAAAAACATCACTTCATATTAAAAATATTATGTTTTTAGCAAATTTCATTTTTGTTCTCATTTTTATATATGTCAATTTAATAAATTTCAATTTCACGAAAACGTAGTCACAAACATCCGGCATACTAACGAATGCAACCCTGGCACATTGCTTAATTTGTCGCACATATGTACATATGGTATATGCATATATAGTTCACTCGGGAAAAATTCTAGTTGCATTGCCTGCACCAAACAGCGCAGCGCTACGTCAATGCACTCAAATATCTTTCCACTCAAAGTAAAGGCACTACACTCACTGCAACAAGCCGCAAACCGCTCAAGTAGCCAGGCCAACTCAAATATGCGCTCTTCTACCTCCCTCATTGACAACAGCTGAGAGTTTGCGTGTGCAGTACCACTGCATGCCAGCCACGGCCAACCGCCTGGCGACGCTGCGCGTGTTAAAAAGAGCCAACACTATAAAGGGTGCGCTCAATGGGCAAACGAAGAGCCATGTAAAATGGAATAGTGAAAAATCGAATGACGGCCACGAACGCAACGACGACGATGACAGCGAAAACTGCCAAACAACGGTGCTGTTCCAACTAGCAAATTCACTCATAAAAATTTAATTGTGGTGTTCAAATCGTTAGCAACGCGCAGCGGATAATTTCAAAGCGAATTTCTTGAAAGAGTAATTTATTCTTGAATTATAATACAATACTTAATAACATACTAAAATTGTATTGCTAACTGTGCAAACGGTAATTAACCAAAACAGAAGTGCAAGTGCAAAGGAAAGAAGCAACGCGTCTACTAAGCGGCAGAAAAGGTTTGTGAAAAATTCGATTGTGAACAAGTAGCGGCCTACAAAGCGAAAAGTTAAATACTTACAAGTTTTACAAAGCAAAATTAGTGAAAGCAAATAGCAAAAGGCATTTGCAACAACATACTATATTCAATTTAAAAAAATATATAACGGGTTTACTATTAATATTTACAATTTTGCGGTAAAATTGTTTGTGCAGCACGCCAAGTTAATGTCTGCTGATTTTTTGTGCTGTCGGCGGCAATACAATTCAGAAAGTGACTAAAAACAACAAAATAAAAATTGAAAGTTTATATATTTTATGTGTGTTTTGCTGTAATAACGCTAGACATCCAAAGCAATAAAGAATTTTTAGTGCGCGCACAAAATTATTGTGTAAAGATTTGTTAAAAATTGCAAGTGCAGTGCATTATTGCACGAAAAAAATTACTATAGTAAAAAGAAGTGTAAAGTTCTGAAAAATTAATATCTAAACGCTCCTTGACAACAGCTAAAAGGATATTTGTGCTTGTTTGTGTGTGTGTCGAATAAACCTTTTTGAATTTAGCTGGATTCTAATTGAGATTTGTGTGCATTTGATTTTTCACGTCTGACGCCGTATGAGGAATACACATAAAGCAAAATTAATAAAGCAGTATAACAGCGAACAGAAAACTCAACGAAAGGAGTTGTAAACGCAGCATAAAAAAGAAAACAAAAGGTAAATTTTTGTTTTCCTTACTTGCATTATACTTATGTACATATGTAGCCGGTTAGTCAACAATGTGGTCTGTCCGGCTGGAAAATTTCTATAATAAACTGGCTACTTGATTACATTCCTGTGCGGCGTTGCATTGTGTTAGTGCATGTGCATACATGCACTTCTAATTGGCTAATATGCATTTACATGTGCATATGTATGTATATAAAATAATTTTATAACTAATCAACGCAATTATTATAATTTATCAACTGCTTATGCCAAGCAGCCGTCAACATAACATCGCCAATTACATATATTATATTATATAGCTTTAGTTAATAAAATCCATTTTAATAAATGCTAATTTTATATGTGCTTTACATTAAGCACAGCATTTTATATACAATTTGTACGTCACATTTGACGCGCTGCGCCAGCTATCAGTGAGTTGTTGACGTCGTTCGCGGTCGCTGTCGATGTCGCTGTTGACGTTGCCGTCACTTGAATTGATTTTCTGCTGTCTCCCTGGCGCGCTCTGTCTGTTGCCTTTGATTTTGTTTGTGTTGTTGCTCTTCGCTTGCTTCGCTTTGTTTTGTATTTCGCTTTCTTCTACTTGGTTTGACTTTTTACTCTGCTACATCTTTTACGTTTTCTTATTTGTTTGCTTTCTTTTGTGTTGCGCCGCGCACTGTGTTTCGTTTATCACCAATTAACGACTATGCTTCTCACACATTTGCGCTCTGTGTGTTGACAGTGCGCTGCGACGCGTCGCTGTTCTGTGCCGCTGCTACGGCAGCGTTGCGCTGCTTGAACTGCATTTATTTTCTTATTGCAATAACTTACTGTATTGCTGGGGATTTTGGTGCCCAGACGTTGTGAGTAATTATTTTATTAAATTATTTGTTTGGAAATATAAATTAATAAAATGTTAAATAAATAAAATAAAAATCTGTAATGTGTCTGCTTTTAAACTTTTGTAGTAATTATACCATACTAACACACATAAATGCTTTAAAATTACATCCATTACCATTTATGCACTATTTTTTACTATTTAGTTATTTTTTTAATACCTTTTTTATTTTTATTTCCTTATAATTGTTATTTTTTCTATCTCCTTTGTGTGTCAACTTCACGGTTCGTCGCGCTTGTTTGTATCGAAATGTCATTGTCCGAAATTTTTCTAGCCGCGGGTCAATCGCCGACCACTGCCAATTTTTTTTCTATTTCTTTATCTGTAGAGATTATTTAATTTTTTCTTTTTGTGAAATTTGCATTTCATCATTTGCAAGTCTTTTTTTGGCATTAATCTTCTGTTTGTAAAGCAAACTACCGAGCGACCCAACATAAATACATATGTACATACAAAAAATATATACATATGTAAATATTTATACACAAAACATAGGTGATAAAAAAATAATCCAATAAAATCACTTAAACTTCGTTCATTGGTCACACATTGGGTTTCGCGCATAAATTAATGCTGTGCGGTCGATCTGCCGATTAACTTTAGGGTTATTGCACTCTACAGCATAGCAGGTATCGCAGTCGTAAAAAAGTAAAGAAAAAAGTTAATCTTTTGTATACAAAAACATGTGTTTAAATAATTTTTTATTAAATTGCTGGCTTTTCGAGAAAATATAAGAAAAATTGCGAGTTCTTTTATTCTGTAATTAATCTTTTGGTGGACTATTTAAAAGTTTTAGCAATTTATTGTTATAAAAAGCAGGAGAGCGCTTTCAAATTCAGAAAAAAACTTTTTTTTTTATTTATGAAAATTTTCGCATATTTAGTTGTGAATATATCGGTTAAACTCTACACTAATGTTCCTCAGATAAATTTCATTGCTTCACTTAAGAAAAAAATTATTTTTAATTAAACAATTTTATTTACACATATTAACTTTTTGTTTCCTTTTTAATTTAATTATTCTAAAATTATAAAAAAATAAATTATTTTAAGTACTTTAAAAAAAATACTAATACTTTTTAATGTGTGTGTTTTACAATTATAAAAAAAAATTTAAGTGTTTTGAAAAAAATACTAATATTTTTTTTATAAATATCAACTTTTGTTTTTTGAAATTCTTTTTAAGTACTTTGAAAAAAGTACTAATTTTTTTATAAATATTAATTTTTTTTTCCCTTTTTTAATATAATTATTATCAAATTATAAAGAATATACATTTTATTTAAGTACTTGACAAAATACTAAAGAACAAAATATAATTAATTTTTAATTATAAATTAATAAAATTATTTCTTACAATAAAAACTAATATAAACTTTTCAATAATTTTTATAATTTACCATTATTTTTTTTATGTTGTTTTATGTTTGTTTCTTTTTTAATATAATTTTGACAAAATTGTAGGAAAAAATTCTCAAGTGCTTATTATTCAGAATGCTAAAAATACAAAAAAAAAAAAATATTTAGGTGTTAATTAAAATTGTTTTTTTTTTTGGTTTGTTTTTTGTTTTTCTTGTAAATAATTGATGAAATGTGTAAAAAATAAAACATGATATTTTATATAAGTTTAAAATTCATTTGTATATTATTTAATTATAAATATGTATTATTGCTAAAAATGTAAAATATTTTCTGTTTTTTTTATAATACTAAACCAAAGTTTTTTTTATTTTATTTTACTAAAAATATTTATTATATTTGTAATTATAACTTTATTGTAAGTTAACCACAATTTTCTCAAAAATTAACATTTTGCTAATTTTGCTAATTTATTTCAAATAATTATCAACAGTTTCCACATTGGTATTTGCAATACAGCTCTAAATTTATACAAACATGCTTACAGCAAGCTTGTGCATTAAAAATAGCTGTAAATTTGTAATAAAAATTGTTTTAACATTTTTTATGAACTATAGTACAATACATATTTGCTTAATGCCAAGGGGTAGTTCAACTACAACTAAAAGCTTATTGTTAAATTAATGATTTCAAGCGGTTTAAGCCATTATTGCAGCTTAAGATACAACGATTCTACATTATATATCTAATGCATTATTTTTTATAACATTTTTATGTTACCCCTGGCGCGTTAAATCCACTCTTATTAAGCATTGAACTATGAGAAAAATTACAATTTTTTCCGTAATATACAGTACATTTGCTCAATCACGTTAAGTGAACAAACAAATGTGCCGATAATGCATTATTATCGCGCTTGTAAATCAGCCGCAACAATATTAGCATTACAATATTTGTAAAATTATATTGTTAAGTTGCAGCGAGCATAGTTACAAGTCCGCCATTGAAACAGTCAAACCGCTATTTATCTAAACAAACAACCCAAACGTCAGCCGGGCAGTCAGCGCGACCAACCAACCAAGCAGTCAAGACGTCATTCAGCCCGGCCGCAATTAGCCAGTCAGCTAACGTTCGCGCGCTCGCACAAGTGCTAACAACACTTGAAGATTTTCTAGCCGGCTTGCATAGTAATAGAAGTGCTAGTACATACATATGTATACCCAACCGCACTTGCCTGCCTACTTGAACGCAGCGCTTCGTTGAGTTTGTTGCCATTACCAGCACAATGTTGCATTACTTCATTGCATTGCAAGCAACATCAGCATAACTTGCGCCTGCAACTTCTTATTTTCTGCTTTGCTTCGGTCGCCAAACAATTGCAGTTGCACTGACGCGTGTAGTCTTCTAAAAAATTGTTGACTGCCTTCTTCTGCCACCTAAGTTCTAGGCATACACACTCGTATACTGTTCGTTGAGTGTCTGTTGTGCTTGCTCGTACCTATTAGCAATTGTTGTTACTTGCTTGCCAAGCCATTTTCTTGCAATCTGCAACGATTCTATGACTTAACATTGTTTACACCGCTTTTTATACTCCTTTTTTATTCTTCATTTTTTATGTGTCTGCTTCACACATTTTCTACGTTTTGCCACAAAAGTCGGTATATATTTGCACAACTTTATACATAAATAGCAAGCAAATTGAATTGTGATTACATTTCGTTGCTTCGCTGCATTCGTTTCGCCTGCTGGATTATAGCCTAGGCCGTACAAATAGACCACCCACTTGTGTGTCTATACCATGACTCCGCGACAGTAAGCAAAGTTTTGCCCCTAAGTAAAGTTTATATTTTTAAATAGTTATATGCTTAGTCGCTTTGACATTTATTTATATAAATATTTATTTACTCGCATTTTTTTCACGAAATTCCACTCTGCTCTACAGTAAGTCCTCATTATTATGCTTTTTCGCTACCTCCATACTTAACCACTTTACATTTGCGCTTGCAACAACAGTTAGTCCATTAGATTTTCATGTTTCGTGTCGTCTAGTTTGCTGTACTCTCCCGGATTAATGATTGCTTTCTTTTACTACTTCTTCCTTTTAAACGATTTTCTTCTATGATTGTCTGAAGCATGCTTGCATTGTGGTTTCAAGTCTGAAGTGGATATTAAAATATTTTCTAGTGTTGCAAGCAATGCTTCTTCTATAAGCATACACTAAAGAAAAATACTTGAGGTTGGGCAAGCTTATGTGGTATAGTGCTGATAATGATTCAAGGCTTTCAAGACACACGCCTTCTGCCGAATTAACTGTAAAACTCATGCTATAATTGCGTGAGTTTTAAAAAAATAGCAAACTTTTGATAGTAAGTAGGTTGCTCTATGAACTATTTGTGATAAATCAGAACTTTGAAGAATTAAATTAAGCGAGAAAATAGTACTTCTAAGAACAAAACATTTAAAAACTATGATTATTTACTTAGAAAATCGAAAACTGAAAAATACTCTTACTAAAATATTAGCTTATCTTAACTTTCAGACTCACAAGCGAAGTTCAACAATCTGGTAACCCTTCAAATTAACCCAAGTTCACATTAGTTACATAGCGGGCAGTGCTTCTAGCGGGCAGTGCTTCGATGCCTTCGGAGAAAATCGCATTGCCAACGAATTAAATTAGGCGAGCCTTATAAAACTATTCCTTCAAAAATTATGTGCACGTACTTAGAAACAGCTCTTGGAAATCTTCT